ATGGGTTAGATGGGAGGGCTATATAGCAGTGGTTAATAGGAATTTGGTCATTTGGAAAACATGTTGGAAGGATCTGCAGAAGTTAAAAGTGCTCCAAGGTTATCCCTCCTGTCTCAGATATTCAACAATGCTGAATGTCTTAATGAAAAATATCAACTCTGAACTCCCTGTCAGCTAAAAATAACAGTAATTCATAGTCTCCTTTACCAATACTTTTCAAGGTTAACTCCATGAAAAAAAGATAGAGCAAAGGCTTGCTTGAGCCAAATTTCAGGGGCATTTAGGGCAGGGAAGGGGAAGGCAAAGTGATGAAAGAAGCAAAAAGTAGAGAGGTTATTTATATCTCTATCACGGCATTCTTTTCAAAATATGTAAAAGAGTTTAAAACGCTTTCTGAAGGAACTTCCATTGTGCCTGCAGTATTTTGGATGGCAGTATTCAACAAAAAGTTGCCGGAAAACCTGCTCATTTGAAATCTTGCTTTAGGTTTATCCAAGTGAATGCTGAAAGCATGGAGTTTCTAATCTGAAGACTTCAAGGCCTGGCTGAGTGACTTACTGGCTGAGTGACCTTGGGCCAACGATTTTTCCTCTCAAGCCCTGCTTGGCCTCCCTCACAGAGAGGGTTTAAGGGTCCACTGAGATATCGTATATGCAAATAACCCACAATCAGGACCTACACAAATATGTAATCATCATTTAAGACAGTGATTCTTAGGGCGCCTGGGTGGCTCAGTTGGTTAAGTGACTGCCTTCGGCTCAGGTCATGATCCTGGAGTCCCTGGATCGAGTCCCACATCGGGCTCCCTGCTCGGCGGGGAGTCTGCTTCTCCCTCTGACCCTCCCCCCTCTCATGTGCTCTCTTTCTCTCATTCTCTCTGTCTCAAATAAATAAATAAAATCTTTAAAAAAAAAAAAAAAAAAAAGACAGTGATTCTTAGGCTGGGATTTGTGTGAAAATCACCTGAGAAACTGTCTCTCAACATCCTGGTTTTCTTATCCATAAAGTGGGATAATCATACCTAGTTTTACTGTTTACTGGTTTAAGAAGAATTTAAAAAAAAAGAAGAAAAAAAGAGATAATATATATGAAAGTACTTAGCCTCATTCCTAGCACTTAGCAGGTGCTCAACAACATTTAGGAATTCATTTGTCTAGTTTTTTTTTTTTTTTTTTTTAAGATTTTATTTATTTGACAGAGAGGGACACAGCGAGAGAGGGAACACAAGCAGAGGGAGTGGGAGAGGGAGAAGCAAGCTTCCCGCCGAGCGGGGAGCCCAATGCAGGGCTCGATCCCAGGACCCTGGGATCATGACCTGAGCCGAAGGCAGACGCTTAATGACTGAGCAACCCAGGCGCCCGATTTGTCTAGTTTTAAGAAGCGCATAACAGCATATGGCCAAATGTTTACCATAAGATGCCCTTTTCCCTGAACACTTTCCTGAAAGTGTAAATGGCCCATTCTTCTGTCAGCCAAAGGCAAGTGAGCACTGGATGTAAATCCAATTAACACCCCGCTTCCATTTCCACATGGTCATATACCGTGTGATACACAGTGAGGTCCCTTCTGTTTCCTCACTTTCACCCTGATCTTCACTTCTTTCAAAGGAGACTAAGAGTTTTGAATGGGGGTAGTTTAAACCCTTTTCATGGTTATTGTGTGTCTTTTCAAAAACTAATATGGTCTTTCCAAGATATTTTTAAGGATGTCAACTGTTAATCACCTTGTTACTAAGACGGATCCTCAGTTCTATCATTGGTGGAACAAAGACTGATATGACATCAGAAGTGATTTTGAGAGAGAAAGTAAACGGTGAAGTCTCCAGGTCTGTGGATATGGCCAGATGTTTTCAGGCAGTGAGTGAGAAACTGTGGGAACATTTAGCGAAGGGGTACAGTAGTTAGGCCAGATGATTACAAACACGGGCATGGGCTTTATCATCACACTGCCTGGTCTGAGTCCTGGCTCTATGACTTTCTGAATGTGTGACTGTGAGCAAGTAAAAATCTTCCTAAGCTGGTTTATCTATAAATTGAAAATTAAAATGAAATATGCCTCACTCCTACCCTTTTCTTTTCTTTTTTTTTTTAAAGATTTTATTTATTTATTTGACAGAGAGAGACACAGCGAGAGAGGGAACACAAGCAGTGGGAGTGGGAGAGGGAGAAGCAGGCTTCCTGCTCTGCAGGGAGCCCGATGCGGGGCTCGATCCCAGGACCCTGGGATCATGACCTGAGCCGAAGGCAGACGCTTAACGACTGAGCCACTCAGGCGCCCCCATACCCTTTTCTATGCTCCCGCCAACGTGAAGCAGTAAACCAAAAAAGAGGAAGACACAGGAGACAATGTCAACCAAAGGAGCCAAGTGAAGGAGATTGCTAGGAAGATGCTGCAGCTGGACAGGAGAACCCGAGCGCAACATGGTTGGGGCGGAAAGCAGGCAGCAGGTTTCCAAGAAAAGGATGGAAAAGAAAGGAAAATTTTATCGGATCTGCTTGACCATTTTGAGAGGAGTTTTAGAGTTATGTCTGAAAGTCTGTAGCTGTGCTAGTGACTGGATGTCTTTAACACATAATCAAGAAATCTGCCTAGAATCCAGAACACATCAAGTATCTGCACGAAGATAAACAACAGAAAAACTGGCAAAGGACTTGAATAGAAACTCACAAAAGAGGAAAGCCAAACTGAGGGGTGGGGGGATGTCCATCTTCAATGGTAATCAAGAAATTACAAATTAAATCTATAATGAGGTGCCATCACAAAACTGACAAAACTAAGTGTTCATGGGAAGTAACAGAACCTCTCACACACCACCGGTCAGAGAGTCAAATGGTAGCACCCCATGGAATACAGTTTGGCATAATACACATTGCCCAGCAATTCCACTTCTGGGTGTCCATCCCATAAAAAGGTATGTACATATGCTTACTTATGACTGAACCCACATATTTATACTTGTGTGAGAATATAATCACTGAACGTCTTCTTGAATGTAAGTAACACAAGGGCAGGGATGTTGGCTCTTCCATTTACTCTTGTGCCTGGTACTGTGAATCAGATTAGTTACTCAAGAAATGATTGTGGGATCATTAAAACACGAATTCAAAAAGACATATGCACCCCTATGTTTACTGCAGCATTATTTACAATAGCCAAATTATGGACGCAATCTAAGTGCCCACTTCTAGATGAATGGGTAAAGAAGATGTGGTACGTATACACAATGGAATATTATTCAGCCATAAAAAGAATGAAATCTCACAACAACATGGATGGATCTAGAGGGTATAATGCTAATGAAATAAGTCAGAGAAGGACAAAAACCATATGATTTCACTCATACGTGGAATTTAAGAAACAAAACAAATGAACAAAGAAAAAAGAGGCAAACCAAAACAAAAAACAGACTCTTAACTATAGAGAACAGATGGTCACCAGAGGAGAGATGGGTGGGAGGATGGGTGAAATAGGTGAAGGAGATTAAGAGTACACTTATCCTGATGAGCACTGAGTAATGTATAGAATTATTGAATCACTATATTGTATACCTCAAACTAATATAACATGATACATCAGTTATACTAGAATTAAAATTTTTAAAAAAAGGAAAAAAGAGAAATATCCTACTTAAAGTTTCCTCAGAACTGTTTTCATACAATATCTTTAGCATTTAATAAGACGATCCTATTATATATGGATGATTTTTTTCCTACTCATTTGCTCTACTACAATAAATAAATTACCAATAGGAAATGTGAGTTGCTTTCCAGGGTTGAATGCTACCTGTTCATGGTATTTGGTTTGCTTGATTCAGCAACAGAAAATTTAGCAAAAACATTTTTAGAAAGGACAGAAAGTAAAAGTTTACAGACCTGTGAAAAATGTTCTGCCATACTAGAACAGAAATGAACATAAAAATGATAATGAAATGCCAGTTTCGGTATAAAAACACAAATATTAAAATAAGTATAATACTCAAAGCTGCAAGACTGTATGTAGTGAGACAGACCCTCTCATAGATCATGTGTGTAAATATAAGATGATATACAGGTGCATAAACTGCCCAATGTTTCTGGAAAGCAATTAGGCAGCATCTGTTGAGTCTCAAAAATACAGATATCCTCTGACAGTAAAAACTAGTGTAATTCCAGTTCTAAGACTATGCCAAAAATATAACTGAAAAAAGTTGAGATAAGATTTATTTACAAACTCTTCATGAATTATGAAGTAACGTAAGAGATGTAAAACACCCAAAATGAGCAATAATGGGATAATGGTTAAATATTCTTTTGGGACATCCATAATACAAGTTAAAATGTGAGATTTTCAAAGAATTGATGATACCACAGAAAAATGCTGATGATCTAAATGCTAAGTAAAAATGGCAGAATACAGAACTGTATGAGGTATGATCTCAATTCTATCAAATATGTGTGTGTGTGTATAATACACACAGAATACAATAATTCTTATGGCAGAATAGACTACAAATATACTTTATGTTAAAAGAAGGGATTTCGGGGCACCTGGGAGGCTCAGTCGGTGAAGCATCTGCCTTTGGCTCAGGTCATGATCCCGGGGTCCTGGGATCGAGCCCCGCATCGGGCTCCCTGCTCAGCGGGGAGCCTGCTTCTCCCTCTCCCTCTGCCCCTCCCCCCTGCTTGTGCTTTCTCTCCCTGTCAAATAAATAAAACCTTTAAAAAAAAAAAAAAAAGAAGGGATTTTAACTTTTGTAGTTTTTTTCAAGGTTTGTTCAACATTTGCTGCTTTGATACTTAAAAAGAACCAGAATATCTCCATTTACACTTACCAGATCAATATTTTGCATTATATCCTGAAATGAAGGATGAGTTCGAAACTGTTCAAACAGATCTCGTTTGTAAAGCAGTGCGTACACCAAGTTTGGATTGTGGTGAAGAGAATTTGTCAGGCAGGAATTGATGATCTCTAACATCATTCGAATCACTTCTTCGATGACATTCAGGTCTTGTGCCTAATAAAGAAAGAAAAGCCACACACACAGTGTTTATCTCCTTAACACGGAGTTAATCAGAACAAGAGTAACTGCTTTAAAGTTATAACATTAGGGATGCCTGGGTGGCTCAGTCGGTTAACCATCTGCCTTTGGCTCAGGTCATGATCCCGGGATCCTGGGATCAAGTCCAGCATTGGGCTCCCTGCTCAGCAGGGGGGCCTGCTTCTCCCGCTCCCTCTGCTCCTCCTGTTTGTGCTCCCTCTCTTTCTGACAAATAAATAAAAATCTTAAAAAAAAATAAAATTATAACATTGAAAAGATAATGCAAAAGAACCCTTCTAGATGGCTTTTGTCAAGAATCTTTAGAATTAGGTTTATCACTTACTATAAAGTATTTGAGTAAAAATCTTTTGAACTCAGATGGTCACAGTTAGGAACTAAACATAATCAATTACAAACTTGCCAATCTGGAAGGAAATTTGGGGCTTCCTCAGCCCCTCACTTATACTAGATCCTTACTGGCCTTCTCATCAGTGGCATCATCCTAAATCATGAGACTTCCACAGTGTAAAGTGGTGGTTGGGTCTTACCAAGTCCAAGAAAAGTGCCTAATTCAGAACATGACCTCACTTCTCTACACTGTCATTTCAATCTTTCTATTTACAGATAAATAGCCTATTGTTTTGTTTCTTTTTCCTCAGTCAACAGTCTATGGGAATCTAAACATGAAATAGTTACAAGACAGCAAAAACAATCAACAAATCTCTTGGAAGAAAGAACAACGGAAAGAGCAAAAATACAGGCAAATATAAGACTTTCCTTTTCCTCTTGAGTTTTCTAAATTATGTTTCAAAGTTGTAGCAAAAAATTGTAACATTGTCTTATGTGGTTCTCAACATATATAAGGGAATATATAAGGCAATTATATTATAAACCAGGGAGGGCAAAGGGATGTAAAGACAGAAAAGGTTTCTACTTTTCTCTTGAACTGTTAAATGTCAACAATACTAGATTGTGACAAGTCATGCATGTATACTGTTTAGAGCCAATCTACACAGAGAGGCACATAAAAATACTATACATACATCAAAATGGAATTCTAAAAAACTGTTCAAGTATATACAGGAAGGCAGAAAGACAAGACAGACATATTAAAAAGAGGGAACAAGGGGCGCCTGGGTGGCTCAGTTGGTTAAGCGACTGCCTTCGGCTCAGGTCATGATCCTGGAGTTCCGGGATCGAGTCCCGCATCGGGCTCCCTGCTCAGCGGGGAGTCTGCTTCTCCCTCTGATCCTCCTCCCTCTTATGCTCTCTGTCTCTCATTCTCTGTCTCTCAAATAAATAAATAAAATCTTAAAAAAAAAAAAAGAGGGAACAAAGAGAAAAGAGTAAAATAGCAGAATTAAGCTCTAACATATCTATCAATAATTATATTAATTGCAAATGTTCTAAACAATTAAAATCAAAGATTGACAGAGTGGATAAAAAACATAAGACCCAACTATATGCTACCTATAAGAAATTTCAAATAGAACTCACTTCAAATATAGTTAGGTTGAAAACAAAAGGATGGAAAATGATATAGCATGTAAATATTAATTAAAAAAATTAATCTATTATTGACAGATGACAGTGACAGATAATCTACCTCAAAGACTGTATGACCCACAAAGTAAAAAATATTTACTATCTGTTCCAGCAAATAAAAAGCTATGCTTATTCCCACACAATTTATCTCAGCCCGTACAATGTATAAAGTATAATGTCCAGCATTCAACCAAAATGTATGAGACAAACAAACAAGTAAAAACAACCCACACCCAAGAGACAAAGTAATCTGCAGTATCAGATTGATACAAAGATAGTAAAAATATCAAACAAATTTAAATGAACTATGATTTACAAAATCTACCATGAATCTACATATGTTTGGACTGATGGGGAATTTCAATGGAGTTGAAAACCATAAGAAAGTGATAAATGTAAATGCCAGAATTTAAAAGATACATGGTATTAGCAGTAAAGAACACCTAGAGGGGTTCAACAGTGGACTTAACAGAGTCTTGAAGATGTAATGGCTGAGCATTAAAATAATGAAAGAATCGAACAATGGTCCAAGAAGCTCAGAGAATATCCTCCAAACCCACCCAAAACAAAACAAAATAAAAACACACATGTAGACATCATCTTAAACCTTGAAAACCAAAGACAAAGAGAAAATCTTGAAGGCAGCCAGAGAGGGGAAAACCCAGGAAATACGGAGACACAAAGATCAGAATTATGGTAGACGGCTCATGAGAAACTGTGCAAGCCGATCTAAAGGGAGTAGCTCCATTACAGTGCTGAAAAGGGGTCAAGCCACCCCTTGGTCACATCTGACAGAAAAAAAAAAAATTAAAAATAAAGTTGCTCAAAGATACCTTAAAGCGGAAACCCTGAGCCCCACTTTTTGAGCCAACTCCTCCTGGAACCACATTTCTAATTTGGCTGGTACTTTGGACAGAGCAATGAAGCGTCCAGGCTCTGGCTCTCAGTAAGGCGGGCCCCTACAGCTTTCCCTCCTCTGTGGAGAGGGCGGTATGCATTAAGCTGAAAAGCTACTTTCCAAATGCGAGGAAGGGGTTAGACTGCTGCTTCAGAACTGTGGAATTATTTGGAATGTTTTACAAATGGTCGCTACATCAACAACAACAAAGATAATTATAAAATGTGTACATTACAACATGCTTTTAAAGACACTTTGCTTTGTGCTCACATTCCCTTAGACACTGTTCCCAAAGGTGCTCAGCCTCAAGCCCAACTGGAATCTCTAGGGAGAGGCAGAGACAGTTTGGCAAAAAAGACACAGGGGTTGGGGTAGGAGAGGCGGCAAAAGGAGAAAGCAGCCTTCCAGTTAAGAGATCAGCCCTCGGTTTCAAGGCCGCTTTGGGCAGGCTGGAGTGGAGTCGGGGGGTCACGGGAGGAGCAGCGGCAGGGCCGGACTGGGGTGCTTGAGATCTCATTCAGGTCAAGCAGAGTCTGGTCCAGCATCCTTTGTGTACAGAGGGGCTCCTCTTTGGTGCATTTCAGCTTATCTTCCAAATCATCAATTGCCTTCTCCAGCTTGGCTACCAATCTCTCAGCAAACTCAGCACAGGTCTCTGCCTCCTTGAGTTTATCCACGAGAATCTTTATCTCTTCCTCATCTTTGTCTTCCTTCTCAGAGTGCTTTTCTTCAGCAGCCCTCAGACACTTCAGGTTCTGGCCCATCTGTCTGATCTGCTCATCCATGTCCCAGCAACAGGACTCTGCCAGCTCAGCTCGTTCCTCTGGGAATTCTGAGTCCTCCTCAATAATCATCAACTTCTGAGCCACCTCTTCATATTTCCGATCTGCCTCTTCTGCAATGTGCTTGGCCTCATTAAGTTGGATTTCCTGGAGTTCCATCTGTACTTCATCTTTTAAGGCTTGGTTCTCAATAACCTCCATACCTCTCTCACACTCACCAGCCGCTTTCTCTGCTTCTTCCAGCTTTTGCAGGTGCTCCTGGGCACAGTCCGGCTGGATCCTACGGTTCAAGGAGGCCACCTCGGCCTCGGCCTGCTTCTGGGCCCGCCTTTGCCCCTCACCTTCCTGCTGCAGGTGCTCGGCCCTCTCCTCTGTGTCATCTTGCGGCTCCTCCTCCTCCTCTTGCTGCCACAGAACTTGGATCCTGCGCTTCGCCGCCTCGATGGTGGTGATCCCGGTCACAGTGCCCACCCAGCCCCTGCTCACGCTTGGCTTCCTGCCTCCTCCACTGGGCGCTGCAGCCGCTTCTCCGACATTTTTATTTTTAATCATTCTGAAAGAAAACTGATTTCAAAAGCAAAATAGTAGCAATGTATTATTGGTTTATGGCATATGTAAAATGTATTCTCCTACTGACGGGCATCCAATTTATTTGTTTCCTCGTTTCTATGAGCAAGGATGCAATAAGCATGTTGGTAGATCTGTCCTTCTATTTCTCTGGGATAGATTCCAGGAGAGGCATTGGTGAAAATACTGGATTTGTATTGTTAATAGATGTTGCCAGATCGTTGCCTAAAGAGTAATGACAACACATGTATACTGACAGTGTAGGAAGGCTCTTGCCCTCATTCTCACCCAAATGTATAGTTATTCCGTTTAACACTCACTGTCTGAGAGATTCATCACTTCTGAATGGTTATGTCAAAATTTCTGAAAATGAGAAAGGATTTATCAATTCCTCCAAGTGATTCATATATTCAGAGTAACTCTAGGTTTCACAATTGCCATCTTTTAAAATATATTTTTTATCATGATCTACTGTTTCTCTTAATCCATGTTGTTTATTCAAGTGTATGTTTTACTGATATTGCTATACCATCTTCATTTTTTTTTTTTTAGCATTTGCCAGGTATATCTATAATCTTCAAGCCTTTAATTTTCAAACTTTCTGTGTTACTGAAAACATATATAGTTCAAAGCAACTATATGGCTAGGTTTTATAATTTGTAGCTCTAACCTGATAGAATTTTAAGTGAGTTTGATTCACTTACATTTGTTATTGCTGGTACATTTCCATTTATTCCTACCATCATGTTTTGTGACTTTTAAATCAGTTACCTATTGCTGTGTAACAAACTACTCCAAAGCTTAGCAGCTTAGAACAGCCATAACCATTTGTCCTGCTAATAATTTGGGCCAGGCTTGATGAGGCCAGCAGGTCTCTGCTCTGCATGGCTTCACATGGAGATGCTCAACTGGAGGAGAGAGGATCTCCCGGTATGATAGCTCGCATGGCTGGCAAGTTGGTGCTGGCTTGTGAGGAAAAGGGTGGGGGGCACAGCTAGGGTGTGGGGACCAGGGTCTTTGATTCTTCTGCACATGGTCTCTTCTGGACGGCAAGAACTTCTTCACAGCATGAAGGTTCCAACAGATCTAATTATCTATTATCAAATTTTGGTTAATTTTAATTCGCAAGGAAAACTATCCCAATAATTACAATTTGCAAGTTATTTGAATCTTTAAGTTGCTACCACGACTGAATCGGATTCTGGTGCAGGTACATACTATGAATGACAATAGGCAAATGAAATCCTTTACGCTAAAAATCATTATTAAATGGGTAATAATCACTACTTGTAAAAAGATGAAAAATTACCATGAATTTGATTAGAGTTTCTTTACAATTACAAAATCGTCTAAATATCAGTATTTAAACAGACCTAAATGTTATCTAATCACATCACCATTTGGGTGTCAGAGTTTCAAATGGTATTTAAAGAAGGTTGCTATTTGATTTTTTTTCCCCATGAAGATTAAATGAGGTAGCATTTGTAAGGCCCTTAAAATAGTGTGTAACACACAATAAGTACCATGTGAGTGTTTTTTCAAACAATGTATCTGAAAGAAAAAAAATCATTTTAATCTTAGACATTATCATAAGAACAAAAAGATAAATGCCTTTCTTTTTTTTTTTTTTTAAGATTTTATTTATTTATTTGGCAGAGAGAGACACAGCGAGAGAGGGAACACAAGCAGGGGGAGTGGGAGAGGGAGAAGCAGGCTCCCCGCCGAGCAGGGAGCGCGACGCGGGGCTCGATCCCAGGACCCTGGGATCATGATCTGAGCCGAAGGCAGACGCTTAACGATTGAGCCACCCAGGCGCCCCGATAAATGCCTTTCTAAAGCTGATAAATTAAAATTCAATTACTGTAACTACAAAGAACTTAGAAATCACATTTCTTAGTGTTAAATATAAGCCCCAGATCCCACTTCCATTAATTTACAAAACTGGTCCCTGAGAGGAGATGTATAGAAAAGCTGGCTTACATTTATGGAATAATACAAGGTTTTACAAAAAGACATGTTTTAAAAACCAACCATGTTTCCTCTGTATTGTGTCAAAATGAGCTGTCAGAGATAAAATCTGATGGCTCACTGGTAGAGCAGCAAAATACGTGGAGAATATCACGTCTTTTTCATTCATGGGTGTTTTTTTTTTCTTTTTTGTACATACAGCTTCCATTCCAGAAATGGATCCCAGATCAGACTTTCTTTTCAAAAAAAAATCCTTATTTTGTGATAGAAAATCTCAAATGTTAAAACAAGTATCCTACTAAAAAAACGGTCCCATTTTCAGCTGCTGCTGGTCTTTGTCCACGTTGGTAAATGACCACTACACAAGTTCTGTGCTAAGCTGTGGTTTCATGTCTAACAGACAAGCTGGCAGTCACGGGAGTATCTTACCCTGTCAACAGTACTCAGAGCTGCCTCATTATATAAACTTCCTTTTCCTTTTAAGAGGGAATTTATACAGTTAAATAGTTTCAAATCATTTATTTTTAGTTTCCTTAAGAGAAGCATATGTATCTTGTTTGTATTAGTTTTGGGGGGATTCCAAGAGAGTTGTCTAAATTTCCTGCATTTTCAGCAGAAAATAAAACCTTCAATAAAATTAATGGGACTTTGCCAAAGTGGGGAAGAAGGGGGAGGAAACGCACAGGCAAGCCTCTTTTTAAAGTTAATGTGCAAATGGCCTTCAAAGCCAATCATTTGGTGATAGACTCTTGTTATCTTTATGTTGTTAATTTACTGGCACACATACTAAAAAGCTTTGTGACCATGTTATTTCTAGCCAGAACTGGATTTGTCCCCAAATATCAAGTTTCTGATAGCAAGAACTAGCTTTATATTACATGCAAAACCACAGCTGAAGACTAAATCCTGTGACCAGAGGAGACAATGTGTAACCTTAATAATGTGGGGGCTGAGAGAAGGGGGAAGGGGTGGGGGAAGGCAGAGTTATGGCACCAACGTTCTTGCGTGGGGATGTAAAAACGATGTGGTCTTTTTCTTCATTCCTTGGACAGGGTTTGAACATGGCCCACAAGCCTAAACTAGAAGCCTGGGAAGTATGTTATTGAAAACATGCTTACTGGTGGCAGGAAGGCAAGAGAATGGTGGCTGCTTGGGGACACTGGCTAACTTTCCATGTTTTTCCATACTTGGAAAACAGCCATAGAACTCACAAAAAAGGAATGTTCTGATGGAATCCAACTCAGTTGCAGCTCCCAACAATCACATTACCTTAGTAGGCTACCCACACTGGGCACAAAGTGGGATGCAGGGCAGTGCCTTCTCCTACTTCCCCCCAGGCCCTCCTATTGGTAGAGAATGAGCATATATCTGAGCTTCGAGTTTTTTGTTTCTTTTTTTTAAATTTAATGTTTTGCCTTAAGAATTAGTGTTCATTTCCATTCTTCTTCAAAATATATTGGTGTTTTATTATAATAAGAACTACTCTTTCACATCCTATGAAAAGTAAAATCTGAGTAAAATAACTCTCTAGAAGATGTATCTTTTTTTATAATGGCTTTGACACTCTCCCTCACCCCATCAGAAAGAGAAGAGCCCCCCATTACAGTCTCAGCTCTGCCAATAATGAGCTGTGTGACCTTTGCTAAGTCACTTCACCTGAGTAGAAGTTATTTTTAAGTCTTAGCTTCCATAAAGACTGTAGAAAATGCTGGATTTATTTATTTATTTATTTATTTATTTTTTAAGGATTTTATTTATTTACTTGAGAGAGAGAGAATGAGAGAGAGCACATGAGAGGGGGGAGGGTCAGAGGGAGAAGCAGACTCCCTACCGAGCAGGGAGCCTAATGCGGGACTCGATGCAGGGACTCCAGGATCATGACCCGAGCCGAAGGCAGTCACTTAACCAACTGAGCCACCCAGGTGCCCGAAAATGCTGAATTTAGAACGCAAATTTTATTAGAGTAACCAAACATGTAATTAATGTAGAAAAAGCTTTAGGATGACCTCAAACTTCAGTAAAATCCAGAATTTACTTTAGATTACCCTAGCACCTTGAACTGAGTCACTGTTAGTTTAGAAGGGAAAAACACTCAACAACCTTTGAGAGTAAAAATGTAAAAGGAGAAGTTTGAAAATAATCATTCTCTAAACCAAGGAACCTACTGGTTCTTCTAGAATGCATTAAATTTCAAGGCTTATTATCTTTGATATTGTTAATGCACAAAAGGGAAATAATCTCTAAACCTGGGTTCCCTTTTTTCATTCCTTCTCTGGAAGAAGAGCCAGTGGTGCTAAGAATCACAGGAGAGTTACAGACCAGTTAAAAAAAAAAAAAGGAAAAAAGGAAAAACAGAGGTAGCTGCACATCAGTGGAGAGAAGCTCTAGATTGGGTGCTAGTCCCAGTTTTGCCATAGACTGGACAAGTCACCGTCTGAGCCTCAGTCCCTTCAAATGTAAAATAAATGGGCTCTCTGGGGTGATGCAGGGAAGCATTCTAAGTGACCCAGACTGGCTTCTGCTTCGGATATGCAGAGACTGTCCTCTCTTACTCTACCAGGGAGAAAAAGCCAGATAATTTAATAAATCATAAGTCTTCCTAGGAAGACCATCAGAGAATGATTTTGGAAGGCAATCAAGTGAAATGAATTCTCTAGAGGGACCAGCCCCTCTAAAGAGAGATGGAGCACAGATATGCTCTTGCTTTTGGCAGAGCACAGGAGGAAGACCCGGTCTCCACGAAAGTTGACAGAAAGAAATCAGATAAGATTTCAATAAATTCTTAAAGGCTAAGTGTGGTCTAATGTGTCAGTCTGTAAAGCTGGAGCCCCAGATACAGGGGGGTTTGCACTCACTGGAAAGCTCTCTTCTACCAGCCTTCCCCTCGTCGCGAGAAAGATACGGTGTGGAGAAGGGGAAAGAGGGAAAAAGCCCTCTATCGGACACTGCTTCCCAGAGCCTCCTCTCATACTAAAGCAAAAGCCTTAAGCTACCGGGGCAGCAAACTCTATTGGCCCAGAGCACCAGGAAACTTCCATTGCTTCTAGGGGAGAAGTAGATACATAACCCATCTGCCTCTGAATGCAAAGCAGGAAACTCACGTCCAGGACACAGGCAGAGATCTGTTCTTGCTGGTGGAGGGACTGAGCAAAAACCCTCTAACACTGGGGGTTAGGGCAGGAAACCATATTGGGCACAGAATCCTATACCTGGATCCTATACTACCACTGGGGAAGGGGCAGGAACCTCTCACTCAAGGCCAACCACAGACACAGAGCTGCTAAGATGAGGAGGGACAGAGATGCTGAGAAAGTGCCACTTCTAAGACCCAGGCACACACAAGGACTTCCTAAGAAAGAGGCTGGACCAGGACAACAGAAATACCCCTTCTCTGACTCCACTGTAGGGACTGCTGAAAGCAGAGGTTGGTAAAGCAACACTGAACAGAACCCAGGCCCCACTCTTCAGGCACAGGCAATAACCACTAGGAAATGTCAAGCTAGTAGTGTTCTAAAGACAAAACCCAAACCCAGCTCCAGTCCTAACCAGAATGAGCCAACTCCTCATCAGCAGAGGTGTGCCCATTTATAGGCA